TTTTATGGATTCACGTAGCTGAATTGTAATAAAAATATTTTTTTCATATATTCAGCTAGCTGAATTTAGAAAAAATAAATGTTTGAGATTTTTAGCAAGCTAAATTGCAATAATTTAAAAAAAATTTTGGATTCAGCTTGCTGAATTTCAATAAAAATAACATTTTAATATATTCAGCTAGCTGAATTGAAAAAATATATATTTTTTGAGATTTTTAGCAAGCTGATTTGACATAATTTAACAAATTTTATGGATTCAGCTTGCTGAATTTCAATAAAAATAACATTTCAATAGGCAAAAAAATAAATAAATAAATAAATTTAGCAAGCTGAATTGCCAAAGATATAAGATAGTTTATGAATTCAGCTTTCAGAATTGTTATCAAAATTATTTCTTCAGCTATTTGTCTTGCTGAATTTCAATAAAAACTACTATTTCAGATTTTCACCAAGCTGAATTGCAAAAATATAAGAGATTTTGTGGATTCAGCTAGCTGAATTGTAATAAAAATAATTTTTTCATGTATTCAGCTAGCTGAATTGAATTTTTTTAGTTAGCTGAATTGCAAAAATATGAGAAAATGTATTAATTCAGCTTCAGAATTGTTATAAAACTTATTCTATTTATCTTGCTGAATTTCAATAAAAATTTCTATTTAAGATTTTCAGCAAAATTAATTGCAAAAATATCAGATATTTTTATGAATTTAGCTAGCTGAATAGCAAAAATAATTCGTATTTAATGTATTAAATTGGTGGAGGTTTAAAAATTACACATATTTTAACTATTCAGCAAGCTGAATTGCAATAATTTAACGTATTTTGCGGATTCAGCTAGCTGAATTGCAATAAAAATAACTTTCATATATTCAGCTAGCTGAATTGTAATAAAAATAAATTTTTAAGATTTTTAGCGAGCTGAATTGCAAAAATAAAAGATGATTTATGTATTCAGCTTTCAAAATTTCATAAAAATTATTTTTCTTTTAATTATCATGCAGAATTTCAGCAGCAGCATATATTTTATTTATTTTAACTACCTGAATGGACTATTTCTGATCTTCAATTAGCTAATTTGTAAAAATAATGAATTGTTTCCTACATTCAGCTAGCTGAATTTCAATTAAAGTGCATATTATTATAATGTACTTGGCTGAATTGGGATAATAATGTATATATTTATAATTCAGCAAGCTAAATGAGAGTTGTTCACAAATGCAAGTTGCTGAATTATATTTAATTTTAATTAAAATACTGTTTTAAAGACTATTTTTTTCTTTTTGGGCTCATTTTAACATATTCAGCTAGCTTAATTTGGCTAATTCTCGGAAAAAAATTCCAATTGCATATTTCTTATATTTAAGCAAATTCAGCTAGCTGAATTGCAATTAATGTTGCCGAATGAGGGTTTTTCATGAATTCAGCTATAATTTCAATTAAAAATATTTTTCAACGTCTTCTTTGTATTTCTGGGCTTATTTCAACATATTCAGCTAGCTGAATTTTACTAATTTTCAAAAATATAATATTCCAAATGCATATTTCTCATATTTAATTCAATTCAGCTAGCTGAAATTTACTAAATTTCAGAAATTTAATATTCTAAATGCATATTTCCCATATTTAAGCAAATTCAGTTGGCTGAATTACAATAAAAATTCTTATTTTAAAATTTATGTTGATAAATCGCAATATTTGTTATAATTCTGCAAGCTGAATGAGGATTTTTCATGATTTCATTTAGCTGAATTAGCTATAATTTCAGTAAAACATATTTTTTAAAGTCTATTTTGTATTTCTGGGCTTATTTCAACATATTCAGTTAGCTGAATTGTACTAATTTCCAAAAAAAATAATATTCCAAATGCATATTTCCCAAATTTAATTCAATTCAGCTAGCTGAATAATAAAAAATGGATTATTTTGATTTATTTTTAATTCATACGAAACTACTTCCGTTTTGAAAATTTATGATTATGATTTAATAGTTCGTTTTCTCTCTCTCTCTCTCTCTCTCACCCTCTCCCTTTCGCAGAAACCCTATTTTAGCCCTTCTAATCACTCCTTTAGATTTTATCTTATCTTCATTTCCTATCTCACATTTTCCGACAATACAGTTCTAATGCTGCCGGGCGTCGACTCACACGTGTCGAGAATGCACTCTTTGCCAACACAACAGAACTGCTGGAGGAGGGAGGGGATGGTTTCTTTTTTCCCAAATAGTTGACAAACACTACTCTAAACTATCTGCCTGTTGTTTGTTATAGTGCTGACGTTTGTCGGTCAACCAGACAGATAGACGTTTACAATTGTCTGCTGTTGGTGGTGGCCTCATTTACTTTCTTTGCGGCATTTGTGCCGCCTTTGCCCCCACCCACACTCTCTTACACAGACACAAACACACACCAACAGTGCTCGTATCTTCTTAACGACTTGTGTCACTTACTCTTATTGGCATTAAACAGCTGTTTGATTTGACAGTTGGTGTTTTTTATGATAACACTTGAAGTTCGGAAACTAACACCCAAAACAAATAATCAATAAATAAAAAAATGAACTGCATAGAAACAACAACACCACCATGATGGCCTGGCTAACGAACGACTTGTGTAGAACCGCCGAACAACTGTTTTCTGTTTGTTTGCTGTTGTTGTTATCAGCATTGTATTATTGAAAACTAATTACCGTTAAGCAACAACTGAATTAAAATATCGTTTGGTTATTTTTGTTGTTATTCTTGTTGTTGTATTTAAATGTAGTTTAATTAGTATGGCAGTGGGTTTTTGGGGACCGATAACATTTTAAAATATATGATTTGTGTTGATACTTCAAATTACTTTTTTATTGCATTTAAAGGAAATTTAACTTAATTCAGCTAGCTGAATTTGCTTTAATATTCGAAATATAAATTTTAAATATTTTTTTCTTATTATTATTTACAATTCAGCTAGCTGAATATGACTAAAATCGTTTTTGTATTGAAAATATAATTTGAAAATATTTTTTTACTGGACATTTAGCTAATTCAGCTAATGATTTTCAACAATCCGGCAGCTGAATTCTTAAAAAATCCTGTTGAATGTAAAATCATTATTTGCCTGACTATTTTGCAAAAACAAATTATTTGTTATTGTAATTCTGCTGCATAATTTATAAAAATATACACTAATATTTTAATTCAGCTAGCTGAATTCCTAAAATATTGTCATATATTGAAATTAAAATTGCAATTCAGCTAGCTGAATATAAGAAAAATTACTTATTGTAACAATATATTACTTTTTATTGTAATTCAGCGACATAATTTATAAAAAATATGCACTAATATTGTAATTAAAATTGCAATTTAAACTATTGCAGTAATAAAGAATTTTATATTAATACAATTCAGCAAATTAAATATGTAAAAAATACATTATAACTGCAATTCAGCCAGCTGAATATAAGGGAAAATCTTTTTTTTTACCAATTTAGCAAATAAATTTAGTGGATTTTAATAAATATATTACATGGTATCACAATTCAGCTACATAATTTATAAAAATATGCACTAATATTGTAATTCAGCTAGCTGAATTCCTAAAATATTTATTACAATTCAGCTAATAAAATGTGTAAAAAATCCATTATAATTGCAATTCAGCTAGCTGAATATAAGGAAAAATCCTTTTTAACTATGCAAATAAGCAAATAAATTTAGTGAAATATTATAAATATATTACATGGTATTGTAATTCTGCTACATAATTTATAAAAATATGCGCTAATATTGTAATTCAGCTACACTCGAGCTGTAATTTGCACTATTACAATAATTAGTATATTAAATTTAACTATTGAAATATATAAAAAAAATTTATATTATGTCAATTGAGCAGCTAAATAAAATGATGTAATAAATTCATTATAAAAATTCCATATTAATATTATTCAGCTTGCTGAATTTATGAAATATCTGATAATATATCAATTCAGCTTATGAATTTAATCCTTATTTTTAATAAAAAAAAAATTAAATTTTTCTAGTAAAATAGTCTATTTTATGGCTATTCAGCAAATTGTAAATAATTTCAATATTTCCCTAGTAATATTATACAATTCAGCTAGCTGAAATTAAAAATTTCATGAATTTGAAATAAATTCCGTTAGCTGAATGACAATATATTCAGCTAACGGAATTTATTTCAAATTTTATATTATAGCAAATTCAGCTAATTTACATTGTAAAATTCAAGTTATTATAGCAATTCAGCTGACTGAATAAATAAAATATTGCTGCTGAATTCATAAAACATTCGATTTTATTTATTTAAAGCTTGATGAATTCATAAAATAAACCAATCTAGACCAATATATATACTAACATGTTTATTATTCTTAAAGTCCATAAGCAGTTATTCAGCTGGCTGAATATGATAAAATTTGTATTTAATAAATTCTTTTATTTATACAATTCGATATTTGAAGGAAATACTTGTAAATTAAATTTGTATTCAATTTTTTTATTAATTCACCTAGCTGAATTTTGCTGAATACCAGCTTTAAGTACACACATACACATGTACTATTTCTCAATTATCCAACAATAGTAATAATCCTTTATTAACCCTCATTCTTTCAGCCTAATAATGCACTTGCATTCTCCCCGAAATGTTATCCAAATAAATACTCTCCTACACACACACACTGTGTTCTACATATCTACGTTGGTGCTGTTTTGGTGGTGCTACTCTCAAATGTATCCACGTGATATTCATTCACAATTGCGGTCAAACACATGGACATGTCATGCAAAAACATGTAATTTTGCAAATATATCGCACACACTCTCTCTGTTCTTCTCTCTCACTATCTCTTGATTAAAATACCTAACATGCCACAACACACCTATGCTACGAATGTCGTTGTTGTTGTTAATGTTTTTTTTTTCTTTGGCAATTGCATGCGTTGCTAAATGTCCATTCCATCCATGACTTTTGGAAATTGAAAATCTATTTTTAGCCTTTGTTTGGACGTTGTCACGTCGCAGTGTAAATGAGGAGAGTGGCAAGCAGCATATGCGCGTTCATGTTTTTTTGCACAATAATTCGTACATGGACATGTTGGCGAATTACTTATTGAAAGGATAATTGACTTGTTTAAATGTGTGCGTGTGTGGCAGAATAATTCTGGTTTGGTTGTAGTCGTTGTTGTTGTTGTTGGCATTAATTATTGGTCACGTAGCACGAATACTTACTACTGGCGTTTTGCGTCAACACAATGAAAACCGTTGGCGTTAGGGCGTTCAAGGTTGAGAGAATACGGTCATTGAGGCGTTGGAAAAAATTAAAAAAAAAAATATTGGAAAAAATTATTTTTTTTTTAAGAAAACATTTTTTTTGGAAAAAATTACAAATTTTTTGGAAAAAAGACAATATTTTTTGAAAAAATTAAAAAAAAATGCATCAAAAATTAAATAAAAAAATTGAAAAAATTGGAAAATATTAAAAAACAATTTATGAAAAAATTAATAAAATAAAATTATGAAAAAAAATTGAAAGAAGATATATATAAAAAAAAATATTTAAAAAAATATGAGAGTTTTTAAACTTAAGAATACGTGCGGGAAAATATTTTTTAAAAATCAAGGGTATTGGTTGAAAAATATTTTTTTAGATAAAATTTGTTTTTGAGACTTTGGAAAAAATAAAAAAAAATTACCAAAATGTTTTTTTTTAAAATATTTAAAAAAAACCTTTTGAAAAAAAAATTAAAAAAAAACTTTGGAAAAAAATTTAAAAAAAAAATTAGAAAAAAATAAATTTTTTTGGAAAACTTTTTTTAAAAAAATATACGCTTAAGAGGATTTTTTTTTAAATCCAGAAAAAGAACAAGCGTGAATATTTTAAAATATTTACACACAAGTGTAGATTTTTTAAAAATATTTTTTAACGAAAATTCATTTAAAATATTTTTTAATGAGGCGTGAATTTTTTAAAAATTATTTTTTACATATTCTGTAAAAAACATCTGAAAAAATCTACGAATATGAAGGATTTTTTCAATAGCGTTTTAAAGACCACAAAAAAACTTAATTTTTTTAAAAATATTTTTTGCATACATTTTTAAAGACCATCCAAAGGCGTGCAATTTTTTTAAATATCTTTTGTACGACAAATTTTAAATATTTATTGGTGGCCCTCATAAAACGGTACCTCCCAATATTAGATACCTTGGGAATTTTCGTCAAGTTTTCCATGGTAATTGGCTGTAATTCCGTATTTTGGGTTCTTATCTTATGTAAAGTCTCCTTATCCAAAATTATCAATATTGTCTAATGTTTAAGGGTCGCCCTGAAATATTCGGTATTTTGGGGTGTGTGGGCTCGATTTTTCTCTCATTGGATAGCAAAGCTCCCTACAAAAAATGATCAATGGACAGAGTTTTCATTTACATTTATAATATAGTATTCGTACAAAAAAATTATAACTATTTGTTCTCTTTATAGGTTAGTCCCCAAAACATTGGGTATATTTTGCATAATTTCGAATTTTAGATTATCATTGCGTAGCATATCTTCCTACTAAATGTTATTAATTGATCCACTTTTTTAGGACACGAATACTCTTAAAATTCGGTTCTTATGCAATACAAAATGTTTCTACCATATTTCTATCCTCAAAGTTTTTTTTTATTATTTTAAAATACAAATGTTCAAACTTACATCGTTTTCCAAATTTTCCCAAACAAATATAGATTTGTTTGTTTTGGTTTTTTATTCTATTTTTTTAAAATCCGTTCCCCCTGTTATTTCATAAAAAATCCTCCTCCATAAATCAATTCGAATTCTTCAATTCCATAAATTCCTCCTCATTTCAAAGTGATGAAACGTTGAACGTCGTTTTCCGTCTTTATTGTGTTCTAAATACTCAGTCGATATATTGTTTTGCCTGACAGCCGCTCGCCTCAGTTAAATGCAATTACGTCTGTACTCTCACTCACACATACATCCACTTGTTTTCCATTCATCATCGTTGTCGTCATCATCATCACCATCGTTGTTATATCAAGTTTGTATTTTTTTCTCTCACTGTAGTTGTTGCTCCTGCTTTTGTAGTTGTTGTCAATAAGAACAGTTATTTTTAGACATTTTATTACGCTCTTTCTTGTTTGTGTGTGTGTTTGCATTGCAAGGCATGCATGCAATTGACAACTTCACTTACTTGGCTGGCTGAGTGTGTGTAGTTGATTGGTTGATGTACATGGGTGCGAGTGTGTGTGTGTGGGTATAAAAAACCCTGTAGGAAATGTCTACAGTAAATCAGTATTGACTTACTATTGGCATTGTCACCAATACTGTGTGTGTTGTATACCCAACACAATGCATGTGTGTGTGTGCTATTGACATTTAACATGTGCTTGTCATTGGAAATGAACTAGTGACTTGGTCAGTAGTAAGTCAGTAGTTTTTAGATATAGACACAGCGTCGCATATGTGGACACGGTCAGTAGTAAGTCAATAGTTTGTATATATAGACTAAAGGTCACATATGTCACTTGTAAATTTTTTATAATTTCTTTTGCTCAAAAAATTTTTCACCAATTAATTAATTAATTTAATTATTACCATTAATAACTTTAAACTCGCGTTTTTAACAAAATATCTGTCTATTGCCGCCAACATATTTATAATTAAAGAAAAAAAGAAGAAGCATAACCATGCTCAGTTGGTTGTTAACATAACAAATGCTTCTTCTTATTACATGATATGTAGACAAGTTGTAGAAAATATGGAGACATGTCGCCACAATAGTAGACAAAGGCGATACAACACCCCACATTTCCTTCAGGGAAGTTACTGTTATTGCCATCAGGTACGCCAGGTTGAACGATTTATTGCACAGTAATTCTTATTGTGTTGCTGTTGTTATTGTTCTTATTGGATGTGTGTGCTCACTGACGCATTCGTGTTTCGTAAAACGTTGTCGTTTTATTGTTTTGTTTTGCAAAACATGCAACGACGACAACAACAACTATCCAAGACACCCACTCGATTAACCAAATAACCCAGCATTAATTCTCTATATCTCTTGTCACATGGATCAACTTGCTCTCTTTTCCTCTTCCTCCAACTCCACCACGCTCTCCTCCCACTCACATGATTTTATCCAGTGTTTGTTTATTGTTGTTTGTGCATTAGTTCAATGTGCTAAGTGCATTAGTTAACGTCTCCTAATCACATGGCATTTACCTTAACGACCTCGTGCCTTATACCAACGACATACAAACAAAAACAAACACGAAACTCATGTAACCTTTTGCCTTCTCTGGTCAGTTTCTCTCTGTAAATTTTTTCTCCAAGAAATAAAAATTATTCTCACAATTTAGTATTTTATTTTGAACAAAGGAAATTTCCTTGCTCCAAAATGAGAATGAACTCATTTGGCTCTCAATGCATACAAATGGTGGGGAGTGTTTAAGAGATTATCCTTTACATCTCGGCTACCTTCGTGACTGTACGGTGTGTAGGTGTCCAACAAACAATATTGCACACACAAATATACACTTCATTGGGAGAGCCATGTAATACTCAAATAATAGGCATGGATTCAGAAGAGACGTAGTCAAGTGTTTTCATTACTTTTATTTATAAGAGTTACCAGATTGTGTGTGTATATAGGGGGTTGCTGTGGAAGAGATATGTGGGGGTGTTGTTAAAAACTTTAAAAATAGTTTTCAATCAACTTTGAAAGAATCAGAAAGAATATTTTTTTTAATCAAATGTGGAAAATATTTTTAAAATAATCTCCGTTATATCAAGCTTTGAAAAAAATATATTTCAAAAAATTACATACTTGGATTAAAAATGAAAACTTAAAATACCAAATTACAGCCAGTTGGGTTGGAAAATCGTGTTCAAAATCCCCTAAATACCGAATAGTGGGAGGTACCGTTATATTAGGGCAACCCTGAAACTTGGGTCAATATTAATAATTTTTGGTATGGAGATGTGTTACACAATGAGAAAACAAAATACCAAATTACAGCCAATACAGTTGGAAAATCGTGTCTAAAATCCCCAAAATACCGAATATTAGAAGGTAGCGTTATGTGGGGCTACTCTGAAACTTGGGTCAATATTAATAATTTTTGGTATGGAGATGTGTTACACAATGAGAAACCAAAATACCAAATTACAGCCAATTCGGTTCGGAAATCGTGTGTAAAATCCCCAAAATACCGAATATTGAGAGGTACCGTTATATGATGGGACCTACCCTGAAACTTGAGTCAGTATTAATAATCAATATTACAGAGATATGTTATTCAATGCGAAGTCAAAATGCCAAATTACAGCCAATTCGGATGGAAAAGCGTGTCCAAAATACCAAATATTGGGGCCAGGGTTACCGTTGTGCGACAAAAGTCGCACTTTGCAACTTTTTTGATGTCCTGTAACTGTGTTTGCAACTTTTTAAGCTTTGTGCGACTTTTCTTTTTTGTTATTTTTAAAGTTGAATTTTCCTTTTTATGTGTTAATTCAAACTGATTTGCATTTTTCTACGTCGTTTTTGAGTTCCAAGGGTATCTGACATATTATCGGAGTTTCATTTTTTTGACAAATTTATTTTTCTGTGCGATCTTTTTTCGAAGGGAACGACTTTTTGTGCAACTTTTTTTTTAAATTGCCAGCGGTAACACTGATTGGTGCTATATGAAAACATGAATGGATATGTCCCACTTGCAATACCAAATATCCTAAGTCTGCCTCTAAAATGGCTTAGATTTGTTAGAAATTCTCTAAAAAGTTCTCCTAAGAATTTTCCCCACTTGACCACCAAAAGATGTCATATGGCGCCCTTTTTTCTAATCCCTGAATTATTAACACTCTCACATACATTTGTACCTGCTTAACTTTGCCATAACAAAGAGGAGAGCAAGAGATTATCACTGTGTGTGAGAGAATTTACCGAAATGCAGTAGAGAACAAAAAAGAATAGGGACTTTTTTGTTGTTGTATTTGCCGAGCATCGTTTGTTGTTTGTCGGCAACTACACAGGTTTTTTGGGGAGCCATATATATATAAAAGTTGGTGGTGTTATTGTTGTTGTTTTTCTGCTTCTTCTTTTTATTGTAAAGTGTGAAAACA